GAGAGAGAGAGAGAGAGAGAGAGAGAGAGAATGAAATAGATTCTACCTGCGAAGCTATCACAGGAATTATGATGAAGTGACATTTGTGAGTGAGGATAAGAACAAGTAAAAGGAGGTGGAAGAAAAGATAAAATGTCATCAAATGATAAAGAACGAGAGTCTTAAAGGAAAGGTTAAAAGAGCACCACAACCCGAATCACTGAATAGTAAAAGAAACGGTGATAAACGGGGAACGTTAGACAAAGGGGCGGTCTGTGAAAATGAACATTTATTGATTCATGCACAGGAATTATATTATAAATCATTTCTATTTCCAAAGCACTTAGTCCTCAAAATTTGCGATTATCTTTTTTTATTTAAAGTTTTTGTCCAGCTTCCCTGCTGAGCCGAAACCCGTCAGACAAAAGGTGCACGTGTACATGTGTGCGTTTTGTGTGACGGTGAGTGATGCGTCGTGTGACTGAAGATCAATGGCGGCCATATTGCATGTTGTCTTAGTGTGCAGCCAGCGGCTCGGGGCTCCGTAGGGGGTGCAGTCAGTTTGCACTGTGCTAATAACGCTCCTTTTTCATGTTTTGGCCCCATTTGGCCCCATCTCAGCCCCGCCTCACTCCATCCTCTCTGCAACGTGAGCCCGGCAGCATACCAAACAAAGTCACATGTGGCATGTTCTGTTCCTGTGTACGCGCTTGGTTAATAGCGTCCACTTCAGATGACTGAGCTCAATACAAACTGTATTAGACAGTAGAGAGAGAGAGAGCGCATTTACAGGAAGATACAAATAAAGACAAGTGTGTATCAAAGTAGACATAAAAGAGGTCGTCTCGGTCCGGATCAAACTGACCCTTCGCTAAGCCCCTCCCCCAGAGAGGCCACTGTCCAATCCTACGTTGGCAACCCCAAGTTGTTTGGCGAAGGGTGAACTGAACCATTTTTCGGGGTTAATTTCTAGTGTGAAAACATTTTTTGGGGACATTTCGCACTTTCACACTAATCATATTTTTTTCCCCTCATCATCACGTCATAGCTGATTTTAAATATTCATGAGTAATGGCATGTGAAAAGGACCTGCCCATCACAGTTCATTGAAGCACCTACCACAAGTGGGGGAGTTGAAATACCGTACAAGCATACATAAAATAAACTCTTAAAATATGTGGCCGTGAACTAAATCACGCCATTGTTGACCAGCCTCAAGTAGCCTGTTGGTGGGCGGTGAACAAGGCTCTGGTGATTTCATTTGGAAACCTCTAGCTTAATATTATCTCACAGCGCCGTTCCTCCCTTCACCTCAGGATTTCCCCAGCATCTTGCACACCGGCACAAAGAGGCACAGAAAGAGAGAGAGAGAGAGAGAATATAGGTCTGATATATATTACACGTCTGTTCCAATCCAACATAGCCATTCATCAGAGGGGCTTCCAGTGACAGGCCATCACCAGCTCCGAGGCAGCTCAGCCCGCTGCCTCTGCTGCCGCCGCTCACAGCTACCAAATAGCCCCTGCGAACAATATCTATATATTTATTAAATTTTCACTCAATACCTGCCCTGCTGTAAAACAATCTCATATTTAACAATCAACTTGCCCGTGTTTTTTTGCTTTTTTTCATGTTCTGTTTTTTTTTATCAAGCCCTCCCTCCTGGCCACATCTGTGTCTCTATATATCTCTGTCTTTTTCACATTATTTATTTATTTCGAGCTCTGTTTTTTTTCCTCCTCCATGCCTCAATTTATTTATTTTTTTATTCTTTTTTTTTTATATCTTTCTTTTCGCCTTGTATATCGATGAAATTGGATTTTTCTGCTCTCCTATGGAGGACAATCACTGCAGCAATTGCCATCTCATAGCAAAGCATCACGGCACTGTGAGAGGAAGACATGTGGAGGAAAGAGTATTAAAAAAACAGTAATAGCTTCTTTCTCCCTCTCTGACTTGGTGTCTTCATCTCCCCCTCAGTTTCTCATTTCTCTCTCCATCTCTTGCCCTCCGTCTCTCTCTCTGAAGACTGAAGCTCAAATTTTAAGTACATTTTGCTTGTCTATAAAAAAACCAAATTTGAAACAATTCCAAAAATTACAACCGTTGTGTCTTGATGGTCTTGTTGCCGTATTGTAGCAGTAAAGACGTTTCTTAAGAATTCCTCTCTCTCCACCGTGAAGCGCTCCGTGTAGTCTCTCTGGCTCTGCTCGTTGTATAACTGGAGACGCGGTAATCCGGAGTGAAAACATGACAGAGTGCTGCAGTGTTGAGTTATTGTGTCGGAGACTGTTCGCTGTTATAGCCGCATGATGGGATTCACGGGGATTTAACGGGAAGTCTTTTCAAGGAATGGTGATTTCACAACAGCAGAGCAGCACATTAGTTTATGTTTTAAAAAAAAGAAGACAGAAATCCGACAGCGGTGACGCTCCACAGGCCAAAACAATATCACTGAGATGCAACTTTTGAACTCAGGGGCTCATTTTTAGTTAAAACTATATAACAGAGGTGTTGATTTAAGGAATGGTAAGTTTCTAGGCCATAGTTAAGGGTGTTATAATGTATTGGTCAGCATTGTATTAAAAAGTGTTTCTATTTTCTGTCCCCACAATTGGAACTCATTCCAGTGATTTGCAAGAAAGGTGATTTAATGAACTAAATGCTTTAAATTGCCCTTATAAACTTAAGGAATAACAAACATAATGGGACATTTTTTCTGCATTTTTGCTGAGAGTTAGATGAGAAGATGAAGAGCACTGTCATGTCTCTACATATTAAGCTTCAGCCGGTTAGCATAGCTTAGCACTGAGACTGGAAACAAGGGGGGAACTGGTCTTCCATCCTATGTACCGACTGCACGGACGTTAGCTGTAAGCTAACCGGCAGCGGACCGATCTTCTGTGTGGGAGTCTCGAGTGTCTGATCACATCGTTCCAACATTCGCCTCGCCTTCTGCCCGAACACATGGTTAGAGAAGCCTGTAGTCATATTTAGTTACCTTTTGGTTTAAAATGTGTGTGAAGGATAGGCACAATAACGGTTTAACAGCCTCTTTGCTCTCCTTATGAGCAAGTTGCACACAGCAGAAGTCTCATTTACTCGAGCGCCGCAGAACTGTAATGTTGGCCGTGGTGGGGTTTCTCCCCATTTCGGCCCTCCTGCTCAGCAGCAGATAACAGAAAGAAGCCATCAGTACAGGGAGTTATTTGTTTTACTCATTAAAAATGCGAGGCTTTTTTTCTCTAAATTGAGCAGGAGCCCTTGTTGCGGTGCAGCTTCTATCTTCTCCATATCGCTGCAGTGCATTAGCAGTAATGACTTAATTTGTCTGTGACACCCCCCACCAGCATTTTGTTTGGTTCCAGATGAGCTAAAAGACCCAGTGGAGAGCACATAGAGTAAATAGGATGAAAATACACCGAAACACTGTTTTAGAGGTAGATTGCACATGGCGTATACACAGAATGAGGTTCTTGTAGCTACACAATGCTGTTCATCCATTGACGAAGAATTGCTTGACAGCAATCAAAAAGCACAGAGGGCTGCAAAAAAAAACGAGGTTATGTTTTCGCCGTCCCTGAAAAGATTTTTTCCTCCCTGGACTAAAAAAAACCCCAAAAAGGTCAGAGCTACGCTCTTAATCAGTTGGGGCAGCAAATCACAATTTGACACCACTCAGTAATCACACAAATTACTCTTCTCCGCTCTCTGTGTGTGTGTGTGTGTGTGTGCGTGTGCATGTGTGTGCGTGTCGTTATTTAAAGCCACCAGGATGTGTGTAGATAATTTGGCAGCATGTCCACACATGTACCCATGCTGTGTGTGTTAGTACCTTGTGCGTGCAGGTGTCAGCGTGAATGCACATGCTGTGTGTGTTTGTGTGTGTATTGTGAGTGGCCCTGCAGTCATTGTCACACACGGCCTTTTTGCCCTCCAGGTGGATTACGGTGCTGATTAGTGCAGGCTTGGCAATTTAGGGAGGTATTATTACCTTGTACTTAATATTCTAGACAGAGACCCAAATCCTTCTCTTTCCGACTCTCTCTTTGTCTTCCAATGGCTCAATTTCGGCGCCCAGGAGAAGTCTTATTCTTGCCTCTTTAGCAGCCCCAAAAAATCTCTTTTTAGTCCTTTTATCTGTGAATAAGCTTCTCTTTTAAATCCTTTTGCTTAGCTCTTGACAGTTTCTTTGTCTACACCAAAAACCACTTGATTCAAGGCCAGGAGGGCACCGATACAACTGGAGCTTACAAGTTAACTCTTAAACTTTGGGCATACTTCTTCATTGTGTTTAACATACAAAGTAATGTCTGCCTGAGGGACTGCTGCACTGGGTATGTTCAGTACTCGGACCCCTATTTTGTTTCCACATTATGTTGTTTTATATATTTCATGCAGGATCTTTACTCCCTAAAAAATTCCTCCCTGAATGTGTGTCTTAGACATGTACAGAGAGGTTCATGACTTAATTTTTACTCATGGGACCCAATAGGCATAAATCATTTCCAATCAATTAAACTTGACACACGTGGACTTGAGACATCTCAAGAGAGATCAGAGGGGAAAGCTATTATTTTTAACCAGTTCGATGTATATACTATCTATGAAGTATATATTATAGACACATTTTAAATTACATGTGTAACTGTACAGAATGTGAACAAGTGAAGGACTCTGAATCAATTGCGAACCTTCAGTGTCGATCCAAATGAAGAGGACTCAAATCTGTATCAGACCTTTTGTCAGCGTTGTCATGTCCCATCTTCTTTTAGCTCGGCAACGCACATCTATTGATCTTTCAGCAGCGCAGTTCATTCCTATTGATCGGTTCTGAACTATGGTGAATGTCTGGGCTGCTAGAAGGTTAAATCTGGGCAGATGGGACCGAGATGCTTACCTTTGTCACATTTGTAGTGTGTCTGTAATGTATGCAAGGTGATTTAAGTGTCTGGTGTCCAGCTTGCTTGTGTGAGCTTTATTTTCTCAGTAAAAGTATTAGTAAGTAATATTATTATTAAAGTTGAGTACTTCATTGGCTGTTTTGCAGCTGGATCAAACCTCGTACGACTCAATCAAGCCTTCCATCAAATTTAACAATCCCTCAGCATTTGGTCATAAATGTGCGTGACAGCCACTGAGGGCGGACAGAACAGATCTTCCTTGAGTGGTATAAACGGTGGAGGAGCTGTGTTATACAGCCGTGTTTGAGGAGGTAATTCAGGCTGAGGGCTTCCTGCTATGGGTTCATTTGCTATGGGTCACTGGGGGATTTTTGACTGGTGGTCTGCACGCTGTTGACTAGCGGCCCTCTGACCTGACAGGATTGCTGCCTGTTATTACAGCGGCCGCTTGTGAGGGGATCAGCTCAGACGCACACATAAACACATACCCATAATTCCCACACTCGCACAGAGAGGCAAACATACGTGCACGCACAAAACAAAACAATCCCAATATTTTTCACAGACTTCACACCTCCACGCATATACTGTACTTGGCAATCACATTTTGCAAAGCTAGCTTCCATGTTGTGGACAATAAGCCCAAGTGGTAATAGACCTGTGCCCTTAATACCTCTCGATATATAATAGTTTAAATGGCGTTTGAGTGATGGCAGCTGAGGCCGGGCTGTGTAGTCTCGCCTACACGGTCGGCAGGACCAAATCGGATCTGAACTGCTGCGAGGTGTCACTTTGCTGAAAATGTTTTCCTTTTGCCTAAATAGCTTCATCCTGAAAGCAGGGAGGATGTGCGATGATGATAAATTGGATGGACTTTTTTTTTTTCTTATATACAAGAGATTGCAATCACATTTTCATGCATTTATCTCACTTACTGTTTTTTTTCTCCGCAGAGTGCTGACTTCTACAAGGTCACCACAGAGAACTATTACAAAGCTGCCGACCAAGTGAATGCCAAGTTCAAGTAAGTTCAGACGCAGTCAATCCAAAGTCGATAAAAGTTCAACCCTGTTCTTTACGTTTACCTCCGAAAATAGAACTTTCGTTGTTGCTTTTTGAGCTCCATGTGTGTTATCTACGTATAATGATGCATTCATTGAAGATTAGAAGTCCACGTGGACCACTGAATGCACTATTGAATCATGCCAGCCACATTCTAACCGATGTCTTTCAATCAGGATCACATTAGCCCGGTCCATTAGTGGCTGTTGATGATGTGGCTCACTGATAAGCCTGATCGCATGTTGATGTATTTCTTCTGTTTCTTTTGTAAGACTTAATCTTCAGCTGGACCCTGGTCAAACAGGATTATTAAATCATTTGTAGCAGTTTTATAACACATGGGTAGCTTTTCACACATCAAGACGCAAAGTATAGGATTAACCTCTGTGCTGCAGAAAGGAAGTATAAATATTTTTTCCTCATTTTCCCTCTCTTATATTGCTATGTTGCACAGATTGTTTGCATCTATTTGCAACCAAAGTGCATTATAGCACCATGAGTGAATGTATGGTCCTCACTCGGTACACGCCACAGCCACACCTTGCAGTGAATGGTTACTTAATTGAAGTCGTTAGCAAATGAGGTAATGATAATAAACATCCAAGCAGTCATGGATGTAGCACATACCCGACACGTATATGTAACTCAAGAAGATGCAGAATCCCTCCCCATCCGTGTTCCATCTGTCTCCTTAATAGGAGGCCATTAGGCTCCATAGTAATGTAGGAAAAGTGGATGAGGAGCCTGTAGGAGGTGGGGCAAGAACGGGCCCCAGCTCTGAGCTCTCCTCCAGGGAGGCTAGGCTAATTGTGTTAGCTTGTCATTAGCCAGCGCTAACACTGGGATCATTGTCTCCCTCAGAAATGCTGGAAAGTGATTAGCCTAGCCCACCGGGGGTTTAGCGCTAGACTCGTGGAAGCCGGAGCTGAGACTTCCCAAATCACATTAAAGAAAAAAGCCCCCCCCCCGCTGGAATAACATTAGTGCCGAATGACAGTGCTAACTGCATGCGAATGTTGGACTAACGTGCGGGTAGTCATGTGACACAGGCCTCTGCATGAAGAGCAGTGATTGGCTGATTGGATTATATAGGAGGTGCATTAGCCAGGCTGTGACTGGATTACAATTGTGGAGAGGTAAAGGAGGGGGGAGATCTGTGTGTGCGTGTGTGTGTGTGTGTGTGTGTGCGTGCTAATGAAATGGCGGGAAGCTCTGGTGTTACAAGACAGGGGCAGGGATGCATTGAGGGGATCAGAGCAGAGGGTTAATTGGATTTAACGGGGCGTGTTTGGCCCATCTTTGTTTGTGTGTGAGCTCATGTGTGATGCTGTATGTTTGTATGCACTCACATGTTGAACATAATGTGTGTGCCTTTTCTCAAAGCTCCCAGCTCTCTTATTATGACAGAGACCCTACAGAGATAAGATGCTATCTGTGCCCTCTGTTGAATAGTAACAGAAAATATAATTTTTTTTTGTCTCACACAAGCTTTTGATTTCCTCAAAGTTGAAAATGTCCCCCAAAAATAAAAAAGAAAAAGCAAAGCCGAGGCCTTATCCATACTTGATAGAATTATCATTTGATATGTTAATGTGAGGGTGTTATAAAGTGTGTGAGATGACATCTTTCTAATTAGAATGTCCTCATTTCCCCTCTCAGTGCCACGGTAAAGGGAGTGGTAGCACTCCAGGGATTGATTAGTGTTAGGGCTGATATTAAGCTCCGCTTTATTATTAGGGACCAGAGGATTCTGCCTGTCGAGGGTCATATCTGTATGTGTGCTTTTGCAAGTTTTAATTGGGGTGTGTTTACCATGTGGTGTAAGATCAGGTGGGAATATGAGGAACTTCCATCGGACAAAACTGACATTCAGATCAGGAAAATCAGGTCTCAAGAGTGGATGGGAATTGTAAGGAATGTATGTGTCATGGTAATATGCAGCACCTGTTCTTGTGATGGCTCTTTGGGTTAATGCTCTGTAATAGCCAACATGGGAAATAATGACTGATTTGAAACCGGATTTCAGTTGAATAACACTAATATGTAAATTTCACTCCTGTGTCACTGTCTAAAAGTTCTCTCTCTTGTATCGGTAATATTCTTTCCTTTTTTGGTGAGTTTGGTTTCATTATGGTGTGTTATATACTTAAGTTAACCATAATGTGCATCATTTCTATTCATCGTAATGTGATCTTTTTTTTTTGGCGATGTTGAATTAAATTTAAGTGTGAAAGGTAGGTACCCAAGGGAGGTGTGTGTGTGTGTGTGTGTGTGTGTGTGTGTGTGTGTGTGTGTGTGTGTGTG